CTCCTTTTTTACAAATGGCAACAATAGTATTACTTACAGCGCCTCCATTTTTCACACAGGTCAGTTTATTCTAAACCTTGCTTTTTTACCTAATAGATCAGAGTTTCATTCCTCCTAACTTCCTCAGTGCCTTTTAACAGCCACATTATATTCTGTCTTTTGGGTGTGACAGTCTCCTATGATGGACATTTAAGTTTTTTCCAGTCCTTTGGTTCCATAAACAGTGCTTCAGTCACAGCCTCATGCCTATGAGGTCATCTCTTTTCTTTCTTTTTTTTTTTTTAAATATTTTTATTTTATTTCTAGGATAGAGAGAGACAGCATGAACAGGGGAGGGTCAGAGAGAGAGGGAGACACAGACTCTGAAACAGGCTCCAGGCTCTGAGCTGGCAGTCAGCACAGAGCCCGACGCGGGGCTCGAACCCACGAACCGCGAGATCATTACCTAAGCGAAAGTCGGATGCTTAACCGACTAAGCCACCCAGGCGCCCCGAGTTCATCTCTTTTCTATATTTCTGCCGAAAGACGTTAGAATAGGGCAGGAAAAATCAGAAAATTAAGTTCTAATTAGACTGAGATATTGAAGACAAGCTGATTTATTCTGGGACAGAGAGAAATTACCATGAGGTGGTATTGATAAGAGAATAAAAGTTAACTTAGATGAATAGGGCTTCATTGCCCCACAAACTGATTTGAGGCAAATAGCAAATACTTTTTGGTACATTAGTGGTACTCTTCTTCATAAAACATAAAGTTCAAGGTTGGAGTAAGTACTCAGTGAAAGTACTCACATAACAGCAAATATCATGATGACTCGTGCAAGACCTGCTGTTTTTTTAAAGGGAAACAAAACTATTATTGAGTAGATATTTTCCCTCAGCTTTAACCACTGATTTTAAGAACTATTGGGGCACCCAAGTGGCTCAGTTGGTTAAGCATCCAACTTCAGCTCAGGTCATGATCTCACAGTTCGTGAGTTCAAGCCCTGCATCAGGTGCTGTGCTGACAGCTCAGAGCCTAGAGCCTGCTTTGGATTCTGTGTCTCACTTTCTCTCTGTGCCTCCCCCACTCATGCTCTGTCTCTGTCTCAAAAATAAATAAACATTAAAAAATTTTAAAAAACTATTAAGAACATGAAAAAATAACATTAATATATACAGCCAATAAGCATGTTGAAATGTGACATCTCAGTACACAACAAAGAAATGAAAATGAAAAGGACATCTTTTGTGTGCAATCCAGAAAAAAAAATATTTTTATTACAATGCACAGTGATAGTGACTAAATAACTAAAGATCCCCCTGTATGGGAAACTATCATGTTACAGTTTAAATATATTTTTAACTTTAAAAATACATAAAATATTCTGAAAATAATTTTGAAATAAAATAATATTTTAAAGAATACCGATACATAAATATTCACATTATAGTGTTTAAATTAAAGACTCTGCCTAGAATTATATGTATAACTATATCTATGATAAAGACTCATGTACGTCAGAGAGGGAACACCAAAAAGAGATAACAGCAATTATCTCTGAATAGTGGAATTGTGAATTTTTGTTTATACTTTTTTTGCATTTTCCAAATGTGCTACTGCAAGTCTTGCTTTTTTAAAAGATTAAAACATGTGAAAATGGAGACATGGCTTATTTTTTTTTTAATATTTTTATTTCTAGGAGAGAGAGAGACAGCGTGAGCAGGGGAGGGTCAGAGAGAGAGGGAGATACAGACTCTGAAACAGGCTCCAGGCTCTGAGCTGGCAGTCAGCACAGAGCCCGACGCGGGGCTCGAACCCTCGAACCGCGAGATCATGACCTAAGCGAAAGTCGGACGCTTAACCGACTAAGCCACCCAGGCGCCCCAGACATGGCTTATTTTTAGTAAGAGCTTTCCAAATAATGTATATTCCTTTTCTCAAAGGAATCCTTCCTGTTCTTAGCCCCCCCTCCTTTTGTGGAAGTACTTGAATCAGGTGTTAAGGAACTCACATTATAGATTGTATATTTCATCAAGCAGTGTCACATTGAGATTTGGTGTGAATGATCTAAACCCTTCCTCCACTCCATGGAGGGAAGGCCTAATACCCGTCAAGACTGTCTTCTCCAGCCTACACCAGCCCTCCAAGCTTCCAGATAACAGCCAAATGCCTCCAGGCACTCTGCTGGCACAGCCTCACAGGCAACTCGGGTTCATTCCTTTCTTTCTTTTTTTTTTTTTTTAATGTTTTATTTATTTCTGAGAGAGAGAGAGAGCGTGAGCAGTGGAGGGTCAGAGAGAGAGGGAGACACAGAATCCGAAACAGGCCCCAGGCTCTGAGCTGTCAGCACAGAGCCGGACGTGGGGCTCGAACCCACAAACCGTGAGATCATGACCTGAGCTGAAGTCGGATGCTTAACCGACTGAGCCACCCAGGCACCTCTCGGGTTCATTCTTAAAATGAGTTCCTGTGCTTCCCCCAGTCTCCTGTCACTTCCCAAATCCCTCCTTCCATGTCATTGAAAAACCAGTCGCCCCTGATGCTTCTCTCTCCTCCACGTCCAGTCCGTGGCCAGATCCTGTGGGCTCTGCCTGCATAGTATGCTGTGCCTCTGCCCCTTCTGGCCGTCTCCACTGCCACCTCTCCACCCCGCTAGGCCCCAGCCACCTCTCAGGGCTAACTGCAGCAGGTCTCACTCTTGCCCCCTTCCAGTCATTCTCCACGTGCACGGTAAATGATCTCTTCTCATCACAAGACCAATGCAAACTACAAATTTATCAGATTGGCAAATTTCAAAACTTTTAATAATACATTGTGGTAGCAGGCAGGGAATATAGGATAATAGACACCTGAACATTGCCTGTGGGAGTATAAATTAATTCACTCTTTTTGGGATGCAATTTGGCAATACCTATCAAAATTAGAGTCATATAGAACCTTTATGACCTGCCTGTTTACTTCTGGGAATTTATCCTTCAGGTGTCTTACAGAAGGCAAAATGACATATGTCTGTGCATATTCATTGTGGCAAACGTGTGTGTGTGTGTGTGTGTGTGTGTGTGTGTGTGTGTGTGTGTCTTAAATGCCCATCAATGGAGAACTGATATAAAATAAAGAATGGTAGGTGCATATGATAGAATACGACATATATAGCTTTTGGTTAGTTCTAATTGAGCTGATGTGATAAGTGCCCCCAAGGTAATTAAGGAAATAATTAAAATGCAGAAGAATGTGCATATAACTATTTTTGTTAAAAAAAATAAATAAATGGGGTTGGGGGGATAGGTAATTGTGTTTGGTCTCGGACCAAACTGGAAACTGGGACCAAACTGAGAACTGGGTGGTAATAGGGTGGGAGTGGGAAAGAGATGATTTTTAATTGTATACCTTTTTACTGAACTTGATAATATATATATATGTGTGTGTATATATATATATAGTTTACACAGTCAAGAGGGAAAAACATTTCAGTTAAAGACTTATCTTTAAAGAGTCAAAATATGGGCATATGACCTCTCTTGTGAATTCCTTTCCATTTAGGATAAGACCCAGTCCAGGATTACATGTCTCCACTGGGGCCAGCTTCTGTCTTGTCTCCAGAGAGCCTCTGCGGACTTCTTTTCTTGCTCCCCACACTCCAGCCTGCTTTCAGTTGCTCTAACATGTCATATCCTGTCCTTTTTTAACTCACAAATTAGACAATATATGCACCTTTGTTTATATCTCTCCTGCTGCCTGAAATGCCTATTTCTCTTTTTTCATCAGTGACCCACAGAGAAAAATGCTCCAATCTATATTAGGTTCCTTTATCACATACTAATCTGTGTGGATTTCAGGTAGTGTCTGGTCTGTGTGCCACTTTTTATTTTATTAGATGGGAGCAGTCAAAGAAAACACTTTGTTGAGATTCAAGAGATCTGAATTTTTATCTTACCATTGCATAACTGTGGCATTCAACAAATCAGTTCTCTTCTCTGGGCTTCAATCCTCTCATCTGTAAAGTTAGAAAACTAGACTAGTTGATTTCTAGGGCCCTACTATTTATTAGGATGCTATGAGTATATAGTACAAAGTGAAATGCACATAAACATTGAATTCTGGTGTACTCTATATAATGTGAAATACATCTAAATATCACATGCTTGGATAAAAGAATTTTATGTTAAAAATGAAAGTTTAGTTAACTTTTCTTCAGAGTAACTTAACTTTTTGATTATTTCTCACAACATTGTTTCTTGATTCCTTCTTTAACTTTTACAATCGTGTCAAAAGCCAGAGATCCAGATAACACTAAAATAAATGTACTTAATGTCCATATAGGATATGCTTATGGGCCAAACCCTAATTGTTTTATTATAATACTCTACTTGCCATGTTTTTATAAGGCATTATTTTTATGCAGTGTCTATAATTTATTAGATCATATAACTTTTTTTCTCATTCCTGTTTTTGTTTAAATAACAAATCCACTAGATGGTGTATATGAACAGAGAGAAAGAAAAGTTAGTTCCTTTTTCTACTTTATAGCTCAAGTTCAACGGTTCTGTTTAAGAAAGGAAAAAAAATTCTGGTTACATTTTGATTTGGGGAGCAAGGGAAAGATGTCCCCAACAACAAAAAAAAACATAACCAAAAATGGATTTTCTGCAATTTTAAGGTTTCTATTAGCTATTATAATTGTTAATTCTATAAACAGAGTATATAAATTAGAATATGCTAAATATTACTTGATTCAATAAATGTGATTAAAATTATTTGCCTTCTTATCTCTCAGCTTTATCTGTTGTAATAATAATACATTCTATTCCATAGACATTTTTGATTGTCAGATTATTCTTCCATTTACTGATTACTACTTATGAATTCTGGATACTGTTTTAACCTGGATTTTCTGAAAAGCTAATAGCATCCTATATTACAAGTTAATTCTTTGTTATAATGAACCACATTGGGGTCATATTATAATATATCAAACCCTTATAAGAAGGAAATTGTTTTAATTATTTCTTTTCTCTTAGGCACCTGATCTGATGGCAGTGAGTTGAAGGTCATCCAAAAGTGTAAGTTTACTGATGATATGCTAAAGCCAGTCTTTTACATATTGTTCCCCTTGGCCTCGTTTTCTGGGTAGAAGTGAGAGCAGAGCAGGTCTAGGGATCACAGGCCTATTGCCCTGACACATCTTGTTTATTAACAAGATCCATGAGATCCCTCTGTGATTCTTTTTTTATTTTTAATGTTTTATTTGTTTTTGAGAGAGAGATAGAGATAACTTGAGCAGGGGAGGGTCAGAGAGAGAGAGGGAGATACAGAATTCGAAGACAGGCTCCAGGCTAGCTGCCAGTACAGAGCCCGACGTGGGGCTTGAACCCACAAACCGTGAGATCATGACCTGAGCCTAGGTCGGACGCTTAACCTACTGGGCCACCCAGGCGCCCCTATCCCTCCATGATTCTTGAACTGTAGGCTGGCCTTATCTGAGAATCACTTGAGCTGATCCTGGATGAATCAGACAGGTGAATTGGTCTTTGGGGTCAAAGTTCTTATGGGATAAATGGCTTTTAAGGTTGAGCTAATAGTTTCCAACCACTAATTTACATTGGGGGAAATTTGATCTATTAATAAGTAAAGGGGACTAATTTGGCTTCACATAACAAAATTAGAGGAAGGTGACCACTTCATTTAGGATTGTCCCTCCCCTACCAGAATCCCTAGTTCAGTTTCTCCTGGTAGTTCCTTCTGTTTGTAGAAAATGAAGGAAATTCTCATACATGAGTGGAATTTTCTAGCAGCTTTGAGCTTTATTTTTTCGAGATAAGATATATGTTTAGATTACTGGATTCCAGTATGCATTTGTGTCAGTTTAATTAGGAATGCACGGCTTCCCTTTCTGTTTAAAAGTCAGATAAGGCAGAAAAAGAGCCTTGAAGAGTTGGCTTTCCTGTTTATTCGTTTCTCTCCACTCTCCTGAGCCCTCTGCAAGAAGGGTTTCAGCCCCCCCGCACTCCTCCACAACTGGCCTTGCCAAGGTCTCCCATAACCCTTACTTTGTTTTATACAAAGCTCTTTTATTCTCCTCATCTTATGTGGGCCCCGAGTATAATTTGATGCTGTTAGTCACCCTTCTTCTCTTTTAATTACTTCCTTAACCTGGCTTCCAAGGCATTATCTTTCCATGGATGTCTCTTACCTCATTGGCTGAGATCACTGTTGACTGGATCTCCCTCTTCCTTCCTGACTCCTAAACACTGCATTGCCTTATCACAAACAAATCCTGACCTGAGCCAAAATTAAGAGTTGGACATTTAACCAACTGAGCCACTCAGGTTTCCCTTCTAGCTATTCTTCTTGCCCTGATGATCTCATCCTGCCTTTAACCTTTCAATACCACCTATGTGCTAATGGCTCTCAAATGTATTACCCCAGCTTCTGTGTCTCTCTTGACCCTCAGGCTGCTATACCAACTGTTTACTTAACAGCTCCATCTGGATGCCTAGTAAACATCTGCAGCTTGACATGTCCCATACTGAACCCCTTCCCACCCCCAGCCAGCCAGTTCCCTGTCTTCTTAGTCAGTGGCAACTTCAAGCCAAAAATTGTTGTATCCTTGACTGCCCCCTTTCTCATACACAATCCATCAGAAATGGCTCTGTGCTCATGTCTTCAAACTTTGTCAAAAGTCTGACCACTCTCATCTCCACTGTTACCCCTCTGGTTCCAGCCACTGTCATCTCTGGCCTCAATTAATGCAATAATGTCTTAACTGGTCTCCCTGTTTCTACTTACCACTATTATCTATTACCCAAATAGAGTGATCCTTTAAGTATGCAAGCCAGATGATTTTTGTCCTTTGTTCCAAGTCCTTCATCTCACACAAGGTAAAAGCCAAAGTCCTGAAAATAGTCTCACAGGCTCTGCCCACTCTTTGGTCTCCCTCCTCATCCCCCCTCCCAGGCAATCAATCTGGCCAGCTGCCCTGGCCTCTGCTCCAGGCTGCCTCAAGGTTCTTGTGCTCTCTCCTCCCTCTGACTCAACTGCTCACGGGCTTGCTCTCTCCCTCGCTCCAAATCTTAGCTCAAAGGTCACTCACTCAAAGAGAGCCTGACTACCCTGTTTAATACTGCCTAAAATCATCGAACCCTTCTGCTCCCAACTTCATTTTTCTTGAGGGCTTTATCCCATCTGACCTACTTTCTATTTTACTTATTTATTTTTTTTATTATTAATACTCCTCTGGGTTTTCCCCCTGCCCCCTTCCCCAAAACACATCCTCGAATGTAAGTCCCTCGAAGGAACGAAATTTTGTTTTACATGTTCCCTGTTGTACTCTTACCACTGGAGGAGTGCTTGACATATAGTAGGCCCCAACAGATATTTGTAAAATGAACACATGATTAAAAAAAGGTTTGTGTTACTGGATACCCTGATCTAATGGGACTGAAGTGTTCTGTTTATGTCTTAGAGTTAAAACTATACTATCGTATGAATTTTGGAATGCTTGATTAACTACTCAACCAACATTAATTGAGTATCTTTGCACTTTGACACTTTGGCACTATGCTTAGAGAGATGAACAAAACATTACTCCTTGCTATCAGAAGCTTGTGAAACTCCTTCCATTTAAAACTTTATTTTGCAATATTTAATATCTACAAAATTGACACAGAATAATGTATATTCTCTGTATTAAAAAATATAAATAATAATGAATCCTTGTATGTCCACCTTATATCTGAAGAAATAAAACATTTTAAGTGCAGGTAAGCCCCTATTATACTCCTCTCCAATTGCATCTCTTCCTTGATGCCAGAGATAACCGCTATCCTGAATTTGGTGTTAATCATTCCCATGCATTTAAAAAATATTTTTGCTACATATGGATCCCTAAATCACACGCAGTATTATTAGGTTCAAATGGCATCAAATGCAGGTCTTTTATATATATATTTTATAGTTTATTTATATATAAATTATATATACAATTTTTTATATATGTATATAAAAATTATATATATAGATATAATTTATTGTCAAGTTAACTAACATACAGCGTATACAGTGTGCTCTTGGCTTCAGGAGTAGATTTCTGTGATTCATCGCTTACATACAGCACCCAGTGCTCATCCCAACAAGTGCCCTCCTCAATGCCTATCGCCCATTTTTCCCACCTCTCTGCTCCCCCTGCCCCCATCAATCCTCAGTTTGTTCTCTGTACTTAAGAGTCTCTTATGATTTGCCTCCCTCTCTATTTGAAACTCTTTTTTTCCCTTCGTTTCCCCCATGGTCTTCTGTTAAGTTTCTCAAATTCCACATGTGAGTGAAAACATATGATATCTGTCTTTCTCTCTCTGATTTATTACATTTAGCATAATACCCATTAGTTCCATCCACTTTATTGCAAATGGTAAGATTTCATTCTTTTTCATTACTGAGTAGTATCCCGTTATATATATATGTATATATATATATACACACACATATATATACCACATCTTCTTTATCCATTCATCAGTTGATGGATATTTGGTCTCTTTCCATAATTTGGCTATTGTTGATAGCACTGCCGTAAACATTGGGTACATGTGCCCCTACGAATCAGCACTCTTGAATCCTTTGGATAAATTCTTAGTAGTGCTATTGCTCGGTTGTAGAGTAGTTCAATTTTTAATTTTTTGAGGAGCCTCCACACTGTTTTCCAGAGTGGCTGTACCAGTTTGCATTCCCACCAACAGTGCAAGAGGGTTCCCATTTCTCCACATCCTTGCCAACATCTGTTGTTTCCTGAATTGTTAATTTTAGCCACTCTGACAGGTGTGAGGTGTTATCTCAATGTGGTTTTGATTTGTATTTCCCTGATGTTGAGTGATGTTGAGCATCTTCTCATGTGTCTGTTAGCCATCTGGATGTCTTCTTTGGAAAAGTGTCTATTCATTCTTCTGCCCGTTTCTTCACTGGATTATTTGCTTTTCGGGTGTTGAGTTTGGAAATCTTTATAGATTTTGGATACTGACCTTTTATCCAATATGTCATTTGCAAGTATCTTCTCCCATTATGTTGGTTGCTTTTAGTTTTGTTGATTGTTTCCTTTGCCGTGCAGAAGCATTTTATCTTGATGAGGTCCCAATAGTTCATATTTTGCTTTTATTTCCCTTGCCTTCAGAGACGTATCAAGTAAGAGGTTCAAATGCAGGTGTTTTGCTTTTCTCGATGTTATTTGTGGAATTCATCTGTGTTGATATATGCAAGCATTCATTTTTACCGCTATATAGCATTCCACTTACTTTTCCATTCCCCTTTTAATGAAAATATAGGTTAGCTTTCAAGTTTTTGATATTATAAACATTGTCGCCCTAATATTCTAAACCAATTCTATCCAATAGAAATTTGTGTACTGATGGAAATATCTTATATCTATGCTCTACAATACTGTAGCCATGAGCTACATGTGGTACTGAACTTCGAGTGTCAATATGACCAAAGGACTCAATTTTTAATTTAATTTAATTTAAATTAATGTGGTTAGTGACTACTCTGTTGGAGAGCAGTTCTATACTACATTTCTTCATCTCCTTGGGTGCATGTGAGAATTTATCTAGGGCAGTAATTCTCATTACTGTCAGACCCAATGTGCTCTTCTTATAACAAATATATTTTTTATCACTCCATTAACGATCTTGAAATGAAATTCATAGACAATGAACTCATGTACACATTTAAAACAATCAAATTTAATGCTTTTACTGTGATATAAAGTAGACATATAAGAAAACAAATCTTAATAAAATAATTGGTATTCAATATGTCAGTGGCTACAAATACACTATAGTATATTAGGAGACAAAATGAAGTTACCTACAAATGCAGACTCATAGAGACTTGTGATATTAGAAACTCAAAACTCAAAAGTGGTGTTGCTATTGGTGATGTGAACAACAAGACAAAATACAATCTTCACTTTTCTACTGGCTGCATCCCTGGAAAGTATATATATATTAAAATCTTACCAAAAAGTACTTGGTATTTATATCTGAAGCAAAGTTGTTATCCTCTTAGGTAACAC